GCCTCAGCATATGTAAAAACCATGTTCATGATGGGCCACTTTCTGTCTTCTTCACTCCCATTGCAATGGGTACGATCTGATTGTTATGTCAACCGCTAAGAACATGGTGCCCACGTATGACCCCTTCAGATGGGCACCGTCTATTATAAGGAGCGGTCGCAGATGTCCTAGAAATGAGCGAATCTGCAGATGAATGAGGTTACAAATATAAACTTCAGAACATAAAATTATGACAATAATTTAAGAATATCACAAAAATTATTACCGAACAACCGAATGTGACAAACAACATGTCGAATCATCCAAGTCCATCAACAACGATCTTTGTCACAGTCCTCGGATTTGCTATCTTCAAATTGTGATAATAAACCATGAGTAGGTTAAATGACGATTCAGGGGTCCCCCTCAACAGTTGCAAGGCATACATCTTTGCTCACCATGTTTGGTTGTAGGAGATGCTAATAATGAACTGTTGGTTCACATCTTCCATTATTTCTTTTCCGTGGTACACTCTCCTACAATCATTTAAAATTCCTATCAATATATGACCTAAAACCTTTTTATTCGCATTACGGTGGTTTGGGTGGACTTGGGACCTTGAACATGTGTGTTCATCATGCAATTTTCGTACTTGAAACATACTGGTACCATCGATAGAGACAACCATTAAACGCCAATCACAATCCAAAGCAGAGTGACACACCGCCTCGTACCGCTGTTTGGTTGATTTCTTAACCTTGATCTGAAAATTTACATAAACATATTTTAATCCCGATGCGAGCTTAAGTGCTTCCTTCGAGTCAAAGGTTTGGAGAACTTTGACATGACATGTAGGCTGGTAGGAAATGTTTCCCTGTCTGGTTTTGATAACAGGGTCTGAGCAAGGTGCTAGGTCGGTCATACCCCAAAAACTATTCCTTACTAGTTGGATTTCTTCAGCATCGAAGTTATCGTTTTCGGTTATAGTCAAAATTTCTGCAGCAACATAAACATCTTCAGCCATATCTACTTCCCACAAAGTTTTTGACTATTCCGAATACTGGATCAGGTACAGGTTAAGAGACTGTCTCGGAGACATGTTAAAATCTTGAACCAAATAACTGTCATGATCAACAATATTTTTTGGTGCAAAATATGAATTTCCACCAATACCACCGGGGAATAAAGTACTTAGATTTTCACCATTGCCACCACTGGGGAAGACAGTGCTTGGATTTCCACCAGTACCACAACGGGGGTAAAAAGTGCTTGGCTCGTATGGGTTTGCACCATTACCGTCCGGGAAGAGAGTGCTTGGATTTCCACTGTTAACACCATCGGGGTAAAAAGTGTTTGGACCGTCAGGTAAACTTTGATGGATTACGACACTTGATGGATTTCCACCATAACCACCATCATCGACCACAAAGAGCGTCAACATTTCCGGTAAACTTTGATGAATGGCGTTATGAAATATTAGCACATCGTCGTCATCGCTTAACTGATATAATATGTAAGGAGTTCGTTTTATAAAATAAAATGAAAGGACTACGTAACTTAACTTTTTCGTAACACGTTTAATGACATCAGAATGCGTTATTGGCGAAGGCAAACGTAATACATGTATGGGGGAGCTTAACAGAAGGTATTCTAAGACACCATTTATCTCTTGGAATGAACCGCCACTTTGAAAATACACCAAAACATCATCACTTTGACGTGATTTCATATTTGTGTTTCAGGGTGATGGGTTGTGATTGTAGATTGTGTTTAATGGGTTAAGGGTTAAGAATTGTGATGATTTATTGTGTTGAAGGGTTTACGAGTTGTGGAAGTAGAATATATGAGAATAGAAATAAAAGAGGAAATGTGAAAAATAATGAAAGAGAATGTTAGTATTTATAATGAAACTTGTTGCACTAAAAGATGAAATAAGTTTCAACCAAAATAAACATGGATTGTCCCCACAGAAAAATCCGTTGAGAGTAGAGATGGCCAAAAATCGGTCCCGGGCCGGGCCTTAACCGGTTACGGCCGGGCCTAATCGTGACAAAAACCGGCGTTAACCGGTCCCTCTATAACCGGTCCCGGTTCCGGTCCCGGTCCCGACGAAAATCACTATAACCGGTCAAGCTTTCATATAACCGGTCAAGCTTTGGTCCCATAACCGGTTACGGCCGGTCCTTTGAAAAAAAAATTTTATTTTATTTATTTTTTTGGTAATTAATAAATTAAAAATATGTTATTAATATTTTCGAAATATGTTATTTTTAATATGTTTTATTATAAATATGTTTTATTATAAATACGTTTTGTTATGTATTATATATATACGTTTAATTTTATAAATACGTTTTGTTATATACATAATACATTTAAGAATACACTTTAAAAATACGGTTTACTCAACTACACTTTAAAAGTACGTTTTATTATGATTAAAGTGACATTGTTTTACAAAATGCTAATAAAATACATTTATCTATCAATCTTCATCGGTATCCCATGTCGGATTGACTTGAAGAGTTCCGGTCTCTTGAATTCTTCTAATAGCCTCATTGTCTTCAAGGTCATCGATGTCGAGTTCCTCATCATCGTCATATTGGGATTGGGACTGGGAGTAAGTGCTATCGGTATCGGTAGTTGGTGGCGTGCTTAGTCCCATAGAGATTTCATTTTCTTCAAGATTTTCTTCCACTGTTTCAATCTCCGTCTCTAAAGATATCATATGTTGAATCCTATCAACGCTATCCAAATAATCCTTCAAGCAAATGCAACACTCCACGGATTCCGGGCTTAGTCTTGTCCGACGTACCGAAATTATCCTACCACTAAGAGAAAAAGCAGACTCCGAAGCTACGGTACTAGCTTGGATTGTTAGTATATCACGTGCGATG